GTTGATCTCCTCTTCGGGGTTTTTCTCATCCTCGAAGAGGTCACCTCCTTGGACAAGGTGGTTAGAGAGAATATTCCCCATGTGCCTTGCACATGGGCTCCATCCTATATCATGAGGTGCCTATAAATAGCACCCACCCATAGCTTTAGAAGAGATGAATTTTGGAGACACAAGTCTTGGGAAAGAACTAATTTCCCATCTCCATTATCAACCTTGAGAGTGAAAGTGGGAGATCCATAGGAGAGCCTTGTCATTATCCTCTCTCTAACTACTTTGCCTTCTTCTTTACCCAATCTCTTATCTCCATCATTTCTTTGCTCTTGTGTTCTTAGTTGAGACTATTGAAGAATCTAAGTCTCTCATCATCTTCTAGAGAATTCGAATTTTTCTTCAAGGATCTTCGAAGATCTTCGAATTCTCCAACGACGTTCTTGAACCCTCTCATACATTTGGCGACTCTGCTGGGGAGGCAGATTGGTTAATGATCTCAACAAGATCTGGAACCCACACAACTCCAACAAAGATGGCGGGAGAAGAAGAAGTTCACCAACAAGGATCCTCTAATGGTGGTGATGACAGGACCATGGCTCCAAATCAACCACTTTTGCTCGAAGCCATTCAAGGACTTTAAAATACTCGACAGGAGATTCTTACCACTCTTCAAAATCTCACTCACACCATGTTGGTGATGAGTTCTAATTTTGCACCAGCGCCAAACAGAAATCAAACTGGTGGTGGAGCTTTTCCCACCAGAGTGCAAAATCAAATCCAATGAGAAGTGGGCCCCAGTCAGCCTGTGGCTCATGGCCACACGGCCATAGTAACACATGCTCAAACCGCAGTAGGCGGCAGCAGTTTGTCCACGCTCGAGCTCTATGGCGTGCCAAGCCAAGATCCAATGGTGACTAGAGAAGGTTCTGGTGTAATGAATGGCGCTCCGGCGACTGTTGGTGTCCAGGAAAATATAAGGAGCATGATGGCGCAAAAGGGAGCTCTGCCCGTACCTAATCTTGTTACGCCACCAGTAAATGTTACTCAAGCACCAAGCGGGCCTCCTTTGGTGGCGACAACAAATTTGCAAGCACAACCCGATATAACAACGCCGTGCGGTGGACTTTATGGGCCTCAATTCAATGTCCCATCACCAACTGGCTTGTCTATAGGTGCTGATGGCCAGTATCATCAAATGTCCTCACAAATGATGAATTCGCAGCACCATAATGGCCAAGTTGCCCCTAGCTCAGTCTTCAGGTCCATAAGCCAAGCTCTGGGAATACCACCATCAAACTCTCTCCCTCAATAGTTTCTCACTCTCACCGATGTACAAGCCATGTTCGATCTCGAATTGGGCAAGAGGACTTTACCCTCTTTGCCTGATCCAGATGTCAAGCTGCCTTACCCTATTGAGATGCTGAGTTATCCATACCCTGAGGGGTACACAGTGCCGAAGTTCATTAAATTCGATGGCAAACAAGGAAATGCTCGAGAACATGTTGTGCGATTCATCGAGACTCTGGGTATTCATGGTTCAAACCACGTCCTCCGGCTGAGAGAATTATATAAGTCCCTCACTAACTGAGCATATAGTTGGTATGTTAATTTGGCCTCAAACTCTGTCCGAAGTTGGGAGGAAATGGTTAACAAATTCCACTCTAAGTTCTTTCAAGTGGCGGAGAAGGTGACCACACTTACATTGTGTAAAGAAAAGCAGTAAGAAAGTGAAGACATCCTTGACTACGTCAAAAGGTTTCAGGACAAGGCTGTGGATTGCCATGAAGCAGTAGAGGAGAGTTATCTGGTTCAAATTTGTCTAGAGGGGGCATTGAGCAGGTACAAAATGTTTGTAGTTAATCACAAGCTACCCACATTCCTGGCACTAATAGAAGCAGCTCGGAACATTAGCACTCCTCAGGCTCAGGAGTCCGGATTTAAGGCCAGTTACAAGACTAGCTTCAAATCGTTTCATGGACCTATTGTTGCTGCTGCCTCTGCCCCAAATACTCGAAAGTCATAAGGAAGGGGTCATAGAGGCCAGAAGAGAAAGCAATATAATGGTAAAAAGGGGAATGTTTATTATCCATGTGGAATCAAGGAGGTAAAAGCTCTAGTTAAGGAATGGGTGGCCGACGGAGAGCTAAAATTGCCTTATGTCAAAGAAATGCCATCAAAGAAGGACCGCGAGAGCCCCAAATTTTGCGTCTATCATCGCACATTGAAACATCCGACAGAGAAGTGTTGGACTCTCAGGAAAATCTTCAAAGATAAAGTCGAAGCAGACGAATTGAGGTTCAAAAAGCAAGGGACTCAAGACATCCGAGAACAACCATATCCTCAACACCGAGACAAGGGCAAGAATGTTGCTATGATAGCTTATGAAGGCCCAATGATCGAGGCTATCGCTAATCTCGATGACGATGACTGTTATCTGGACGACATCCTCGAGCCAGAGGGTGATGGAAGTGCTCTCGATCCAGAGGGCAGAACATTTATGACTCATGGTGAAGATCCCTTTGATCCAGAAGGAGGAGAAGAGTACTATGGAAGAGGAGGACACCATGTTCATGTGGCATCTTATTTTGAAGAGACCGAGGAGATGGTTAACTACGAGCCTCCAAGAGTGGAAAAAGATCCGGATCACTATGCCAAAACCTTGTAAGACTGTGTAAAGTTCAAGCAGTTCTTTGACCAGCTTGGACTTTCCAAGGAGGCAAGAACAGAAATCACCAAGTCTATCATTAATATAGCCGAGGCACACCATGAGGAATGCATGTCGACTGAGGGGTCTATCCCGAGGAAGGCAAAAGACCAATCTAGTGCCATTACTTTCTCCGAGGCTGATCGAAAGTATCCTTTTTCTCACAATCGCCCGCTTTATGTGACTGTTTTTATTAACGGGGTTGAGTTCAAAAGGGCATTTCTAGATAGTGGAGCCTCTATCAATATTATGACTCGCGCTACTCTAGAAAAAGCCGGAATCTCTGAAGAACGCATTGTGAAGCAGCCGATAGTCATCACTGGCTTCGGTGGAGAAAGGAGAGTTACTATCGGATGCGTAACAGTTGATTTAGCCGTTGGAGAGATTCGCTCGGCCACCAAGTTCCATATTATCGATTCTGAGGCAAATTATCACATCATTCTAGGGAGGACCTGGATGCATAGATATGGGGCTGTACCATCAAGTTATCATCAGTGTGTTAAGGCTAAATGGGGAAAGAAGACGGTGACAATTCAGGCTACAGAAAGGCCGTTCGAGATCCATAAAGCTCATTATTCTGATGCCATCTACTTCACCGAACTGGCTGTCGAAGAAGTTCCCACCACCTCTAAGCCTCGAGGGGTCAAAATTCCTCGTTGGGAGGATATCAAAGATGACAAGGAGCCGGTGACAGAATCAAGTAAGCGGGCGATGTCTAGACCAGAAAGTCCGCCTATTCCTCGGAAAGTGATGAAAGTTTGAGAAGGAGGCAAGATGGTGTACTATTTATGAAGGTGCGGGGAGTCGGTTTCTTCAGTCACCGACTCCGAATCAAAAGAAGAGCCTCCTGACAATGATATAGTAATAAAGCCTGAAGTGGCTCCAGAATGTATGCAAGATGGGCCGAAGCCTCAGCCCGAACAACTTATTGAAATAGATCTGAGTGATGGACAAGATGCTCCAAGGCCGATATTCATAAGTTCGAGCCTTAGCCTAGAAAAGCGGGAACAGTTGTTAAAGTTGATAAGTCGGTATTCAGATGTGTTTGCTTGGTCATATAAACAAATGCCTGGACTAGGTCCTGACCTAGTCTCCCATTATCTTGATGTGTTCCCAAACTCCAAGCCAATCAAGCAAGCTGCTCAAAAATATCATCTAGATCTCGAAAAAAAGATTAAGGAGGAGATTGAAAAACTTTAACAGGCTGGTTTCATTCGGCCAATACAATACCCCACGTGGTTGGCAAACATAGTACCAGTAAAGAAGAAGAATGGACAAATCAGGGAATGTGTAGACTTTCGAGATTTGAACAAATCTTGTCCAAAGGATGAATTCCCTTTTCCTCATATCGACACCCTCGTGGATGCCACCTTGGGACACCAAATGTTCTCATTCATGGATGGATTCAGCGGATACAATCAGATCAAAATGGATGAAGAGGACGCAAAAAAGATTGCTTTTAGAACACCTCTCGAAAATTTCTTCTATATAGTCATGCCTTTCGGACTCAAGAATGCTGGAGCAACTTACCAAAGGGCTATGACTGCAATCTTTCATGACATGATCCATCATGAGGTGGAAGATTATGTTGATGATCTAGTGGTGAAATCCAAGAAAGAAGAGGACCATCTCCGAGACCTTGAGAAGGTATTCAAAAGGTGCTAGAAATTCAAAATGAGGATGAATCCTCTCAAATGTGCTTTCGGGGTGACGGTTGGGAAGTTTCTCGAGTTTCTTGTACATAGGCATGGTATTGAGGTAGATGAAGACAAGGTCAAATCTATCAGAGCAATGCCTTCCCTACATTCTCAGAAGGAGTTAAAGAAGTTCCTCGGGAAGGTGTCTTATATTCGAAGGTTTATCCCAGCACTTGCAGAGATCTCTACCCCTTTCGGCTCGTTATTAAAAGGAGATGCCAAGTTCGAGTGGAACCAAGAGCACCAAAAGGCCTTTGAGAGAATTAAGGTGGCCTTGACCTCGCCTCAGACCATGATAGCCCCGCAGCCCGGGGTGCCTCTAATGTTGTACCTAACTTCAACCCCCAAGTCCATAGGGTCATTATTGGTCCGAGATGTAAATGGAGCAGAACGCCTGGTGTATTACATCAGCCGGAAGATTCGAGGAGTAGAAGTCCGATATACTCCAGTAGAGAGACATTGTTTAGCTTTGGTATTCACCACCCAAAATCTCAGACATTACTTCTTAGCACATCAAATTCAGATTGTTAGTAGAAGCGATCCAATCTGATACCTCCTCAGCAAGCTTGCTCTAACCGAGAAGGTGGCAAGATGGTTGTTAGCACTGGATGAATTCGAGATCACGTGTAGCTCCCAAGGCAATCAAAAGCCAAGTCTTAGCCGATCTCCTTGCCCAATTTCCAAGTGGTGACTATGAACCAGTGAATGAAGAATTAAGAAGAGAGGTGCATGCAGCTATGGCTTCCGAGGAAAGCTTTTGGACATTGAGCTTTGACGGAGTAGCAACTGGAGGGAAAGGAGGAACCGGGATAGTCCTTACAAGCAAAAGTGGGGAAAAGTTTTATTTTTCTTATAAACTGGATTTCCATTGTTCGAATAATGAAGCTGAGTATGAGGCTCTTATTTTAGGCTTGATAGCAGCTGAGAAGTACAGTATCAAGAAGATTCGAATCCGGGGGGACTCAAAGTTGATAGTGAAGCAAGTTTCGGGACAGTTCGTCTTAAAGGAGCCTTCCTTGGCCACATATCGAACAACAGTCCAAAGGATTCTTGACAAATTTCAGAAGGTCGAAATAGAGCATGTGCCTCGCTCCGACAACAAGTTTTCAGATACCCTTGCAACATTAGGGGCAAGAGTTGATATTCCAGAGGAGGAGGCGACAATTATTATCAAGAAGAGAACAGAGCCTTCAATAATACCCGAAGACAAAGACCTTCCGGCGGACTGGAGAAGAGAGGTCCTCAAACAACTCATAAGCAAAGTTGGAAAATTGACTATGGCCAAGCTTGCCCAATTCATAATTATTCAAGGTGAACTTTACTTCCGAAGAGGTACCGGATTCCTAGCCCGGTGTGTTGGCCAACAAGAAGCAAGCTTCCGACTACAACAGATACATGAAAAGTCATGCGGGGATGAGGATATCAGTCTGTACAGAAGGATCTAAAGACAAGGCTATTATTGGCCCGAGATGGAGAAGGCCTCGAATCAACTACAGAAAGAATGCCCCAAGTGTCAGTCATACATCCAGAAGGATGAGGGTTTCTTTGAAATTGATAACCCTGACTGGAGACAAGTCTACATTGACTATCTCAAGGAGGGGACACTACCTGAGAGCTTGAGGGACATTGCACACCTCAAGAGGAGAGCGAGGCGGTACTTTCTTGATCAGAATAAGCTTTATAGAAGAAACATTGAGGGCACTTCCCTGAGGTGTCTCTCTAAGGAGGAGTCAGATCTAGTTCTTGGAAGAGCCCACGAAATTGAGCATCAATGAGGGGCTCGGCTGTTCGAGCAACTTATACACCTTGAGTATTACTGGCCGACCATGGAGTCAGATGCATCCCATCACGTGAAGAGGTGCCAGACTTGTCAGAAACGCGAAAATTTGATCCATGCTCCAACCGTAGACCTGCATAGCGTCCGAACGCCATGGCCGTTCCATACTTGGGCTTTTGATCTGATAGGGCCCATTTCCACACCTTCCAAAGGGTATAAGTGGATTCTCGCAGCTACAGAATTGAGCATGAAGTGGGTCGAAGCAATCCCTCTGAAGAACACTACGGGGCCCACGGTCGCGAACTTCATCAAGGAAAATATCATTTGCTGATTTGGAGTACCAAACACCATCCTCTCAAACAATGGCACTCCCTTCATAAATAAATATGTGAAGAGCCTCCTAGAGACTTACCAAATGAAGCATCACAAATCCATACCCCACTATCCAAAAGGAAACGGGCAAGCGGAGGTCACAAACAAGACACTGATAAGGATTTTGAGCAAGATGATGGATGAATTTAGGAGGACTTGATCCGAACAGTTGATAGTAGCCTTATGGGCGTATCGCACTTCAAAGAGAAAGCTAACTCAAGCAACTTCTTACTCCCTTGTGTATGGGTCCGAGGCAGTGTTACCTATAGAGTTGGAAACACCATCTGCTCGGATGGCTCTCTCTTCGGGGATGGTATTGAAGCCTCGAACCACCAGATTGGAAGCATTAGAGGAAAAGCATGACAGAGCTGCAAAAGTCATGGAAAGATATCATGAGTCCCTCGCCCGAGCCTATAACCAGACTGTGGTACCAAGAAAGTTTGAAGAAGATGATCTAGTATGGAAGATTGTAGACCCAATCATGCGAGGACAACCCTTGCCCAAGTTTTCTCCAAAATGGGAAGGGCCCTACAGGGTGGTTCAGGCGAGCTCAAACGGATACTACAAGCTTGTAAGGGTTGAAGATGGCTTCCGAACTGGCCCGCTCAATGCAAAGTTTATCAAGCGTTACTACCCGTAGTTAGACTCATCTATGTTGAAATTCATTTTCATTTTCTTACTTTGTCTAAAAGTTGTATTTCCCTTACGTTATGAAGAAGCTGGTTTCTTTATGGAGTATGTTTATCCCATCACTTGCAGTGAATATATTATACTTTTGTCAAGAAAGTTAAAAAATTAATGAGAATATTTCAGCTTTTATAAACATGTGCATATGATTGTTCTTTCTATTGTATCATTTGAAATAAATATTTTATCAAGTACAATGAGAAAATAATGCGAAAATATCCAAACAGCAAAGATTTTGTCATTTCATTGCATTGTCCTAGATAAAACATTTTTATTGAAAGGGGCAAGAAAGTAATACAAAAAAAAAAAAAAAACTAAATCTCTCCTAAAAACACCCTTGAAGAAGCTGCCCGTCACATCTATATCTGGAGGACAAACAGCAGAGTGTGCCTCTAAAGTCTCCAAGGCCCGAGCATAGCCCGACTCAAGTTCACGAAGAGTTGCCTTTGTCTCATCTATAGAGGTCCGATAAGAGGCAAGCACAGACAAAATTTCCACCCGATGACTGGCGTTCGAAGCTATATCCAGGCGCTTCCGAAGCCATGATAAATCCACTTGGTGACGCTTCATGTCAGAGATCCCCTGATACGCTATCTCGACTACTTTCCCATTAAGGTCACACAGCCGTTGCCTGTCCAAGCTATATAAGATAGTAGCAAAAGACTCGAGAAGAGCAGTCTGAATGAGTGGACATTGGCAAGCAAATGAAACAAAGGCCTTAGGGTAACTCGAATGCACAAGTTGTAGAACTGAAGCAAACTCAGGAGCTATCCAATAATAGAGAAATGATACTTTGCCAGAAGCTGAAGGAGGAATTGGGGTCGGAAAGCTACTAGTCTCAGGAATCTCCCCATTGTCTATCGGGTTAGATGAACCACCCGAAGGGGTAACTTCTGGCAAAGGTCCCGAGCCTGAGAATGCGAAGCGATAAGGGGAAAGAACAAAAGCATCACTATCAAAGTGGAAATCGCTGAGATTCAGATCCAAAACATTTGAAGGCACTAACGATGAAGAACCTTTAGCAGTCGTCTCAAAGGCAGGTGTCTCCCCTTGAGAAGGAGAACCATGAGAAGTCACAAAGAGAGTCAGAGCAGAGTCCGAGGCAGGTGAAGGCAGGTCCTCGATGGCAGCTAACACTAAAGAAAAAATAAGGAAGTCTTATTAGGGTTGGGGAACAATAAAGCCATTTGAGTAAAGATTTCTCACAGATAGAAGTACATGACAAACTTCAGAAAGGAAGATTACCAGAGGGAGAATCATTATGCAAAGCCGAAGCAACAAGAGGGCTTCTAGCATCAACAAAGTCACTTGGCCGTACAGGGAGCACCTGATCGATCTCAATGTCTAATGAAGCCTGAACAGTAGCAGTCATCCATGGAAAAGGAAGGAGGGCTGGAGGATGAGAATCACCATAAGTGCCAGAGCGAGTCTTAGAGATTTCTAGCACATCCACCACCACACCATTCCCAGAGGCACATATCATCTCTACATTGCTTCTAGAAGCATGGCCTACGGCATCAATTTCTGTGACATCAGTACCTTTAATAATCTCAACATCAGAACGATGAGCCTTGATAACCCTGTCACCAAGATAGCACTCCTCCTCCGAAGCTGAGCGATGAGGGGAACATCTAACCATTGGAGGGGCATCCTTAGTCACGACAGGACGGTGACGACATATACGTGGGACAAGGTCACAAAAATGATAGAAGACTCAGCCTCATCATCATCATTTATAACTGCTATACGAGGGGTGCTCATTTTCACGAGTCTTGCAGACAAAGGGAGGGTGTCATCCAGGTCTGAGTCTGGCCTGGTGTAGGCAGCATAGCCAGTTGCCATGGTACTGAGAACGTTAGCAATCGCGAGGTCCTACACAACAGAGGAAAATAAAAGTGTTCATTTAAGAAGGTACAATCGCAAGAAGAAAAATAACTTCAAATCAAAATTTTTCGGGTACCTGATGGAGCCTTTTGGAAAGGTGAGGAGTGGAAGGACTAGCATCAGAAGCCCTCTTGTGAGCCATCTTCTTAAGGCGGGTCGTCCGAGGACCAGAGGCCTTACTCAAAGGGACTGGCTTTGGAGAAACAATTGCCAAGCTAGAAGCAGACACCCGAGCCGGAGTGTTAGTTAGAGTAGATGAAGTGAAAAACTCTCATACATGTGATCAGATTTTCAGCTCTCAGGAAACCGAAGAGAAGAGTCCTTCTTATAGATCAGCGGAGGCAAACATATGGTCAGTCTGCTCTGCTCTGGAAAAATTCAATAAACGCATCGATATTCTTCCGCCAATATCGCCTAAAAGAGAAGTTGAAACCCCTTACTCGACTCAAGCCTGGCATTGTCAAAGAGCTGGATACAGGAAGTATGGTATGTACAAGTTCACGACTGAAGCACCCGTAGCTCTCCGAAAATGATAATAAAGGAGGTGCTGGTCCTTGAGCACATTGGTCGAACCCGAATTGACTTGCTACACAGTCAAGTCTACAAATGGCACTATCAACGCCTTCCTCATGCCACACTGGTAGCGAATTAGGACAGATCATTATCAACATATCAACAAAGTGTGCAGGGATGTTCTTCGGCAAAGGAAAGGACACCGAACGGGAGGAACCATGATAGATAAGTGGTGTTGCCACACCCACCGGTGGGCATACATACGGGCGTGCCCCAAAGCGCCAGGGGTCATCCACCAGAATATTCAAGGATAAGATAGAAATGGTACGTGACTAACGTGTAATCAACGGCTGGCAAGACTTCGCTTTCTCAAATGTGCGAGACCCGTTAGTACCGAGCACAGGGACACCATCTTTATCAACTATCTCCCAAAGAACCTCTGCCTCGAATACAGTCGGAGTAGGGGCAAACTTTGGGAACCTTTCGAAGAAAAAACAAAGCAAGAACTGGTTGTAGATGAAGGAGACAGGCTTATACTGACCCACGGAACGAACCATGTCTCGATGTAGTAGATCCAGCTGGTAATAAAGATTCCCAAGAAATAGGGGAGCGAAAGGAATCCGATCCCCTCTGAAGAGCCTAACTACCAAGGGGACGACAAAAAGATTGAGAGAATCCGGAGGTGTGCTCGGAAGAATGAAGAATGAAAGGAAGCAAGCCAGAAATCTCAAAAAATAGAGCCTAGAGCCATACATCGGGCCGACTTCATACTCCCGAGAATCAAGGTCAACATCTCTAGCCAGGGGCTGAAGATCTCTAAAGAAGTGGCGGATCCATGCGGTGTAAAAGGCACAGTCCGTCTTCACTCGATTAGTCCTCCTCACTAAACCATCAAATACAGAACTCCACCGACCACAAGCTTGAAGATTTAGCTTTAGAGATTGGATCAAAGAATCATCCTCGGAGGGTGTCCACTCAGGGTCAAAGGCATCAAGGCCGGTCACTTCCAGACGCAGCAACATAAACACATCCTCGAGGGTGGGCCCCATCTCATGCTGGCCAAGTATGAAAGTGTGCATCTCGGTGCTCCACCGAAGAGCCATGGCTTCAAGGCTAGCTTTGTTGCGGCTGATGGATAAGGATCGAGATATTTTCACCGGGATGAATAGCCGGGCCTCCTGAAGCCGCTGACAGAGGCTCCTGTCCAAGAGG